TCTTGTTATTCTAAGTATATTGTTCATACTGGTTAAAAAAGAAAAGAAAGAAGACAAGAAAACTTTCCCTGCTATACTGAGATTTGTACCAAAAACAGCCGAGACCTGAGGGGTGGAGAAATTGAAAGCTGGAGCCGAGAAGCTGAATTGAACTTTACTGACATGGAGTTTGAGCATAGGAGAATTGCTATTCATTCCCTTAAACTTTTTCTTTGGGGGAGGTCTTTTTTGAGAGGTCTCCGTGTAGCTCCAGAACTCACTATGTAGACCAGGCTGGCCTTGAACTCACAGAGATCCGCCTGCCTCTGCTTCCTGAGTGCTGGGATTGAAGGCATGTGCCACCACGTCAGGCTTCCCCTAAACTTTTTATTGTTAATCCTCCATTTAACATTTTACAATTTACTGAACACTGTCTTTGACTATCTAGACTATCACAACATATAACCTAAGTAGTCATTAATGTTAGCGTTTTACAAATTAGTTAAAGCATCTGGTATAGTTGGCACACACCTGTGATACCAGCATTTGGGAGGCTGAGGCAGGAGGATACTGAATTTGAGGCCAAGCCTGAGCCTGGTCTACATACGGGGATAGAGTACGGGTAGTAAGGGAACAACTGACAAGATTTTTTTTTTAAGATTTGTTTACTTTTACGCATATGAGTGTTTACCTGAATGTAGGGAAGTGCACAAACATGTCTGCCTGGTGCATGAGGAGGCCAGAAGAGGGCTCAGATTTCCTGGACTGGAACGGCAGGCAGTTGTGAGCCACCATGTGGGTGATGGGGACTGAACTCAGGTCCTCCGCAAGAGCAGTAGTGCTCTTAACTGCTATACCATCTCTCCAGTCCCAAGATCTCTTAATGAGCTGTGAGTGGGACTCACATTTATTTTTGTTTTCTTCCTAGTTGAAACTAGAAAAGTTGGAGTTTTCTTTTCCTATTTGTCATTTTCTAAAGCATTGACATGAGAAACAGACAGACATGCTCCACTCTCTCAAGTGACTTTTAGGAAAATCTTATGTTTACAATTATCATTAAATCAATGGATATTGAGTCCCTGATTTTTCCTGGCCTGCTTTCAACATTCTTCCCTTCGTTTTTATCCCATGCATCATTATCTACTATTTTCATAGCATTTTAAAGCAAGTTTTATGGCTATTTGTTAAAATTATTTTTATTTGAAGAGGGTGGTGTGCTAGGGATCAAACCTAGTCTTCAGTTGCTCTGCCGCTACAGCACATACTCAGACACTTGTTAATTTTTTTTCCAAAATATAAAATCACAGAATTCAGAAACAGGAAGGATTCATACAGCAGTTAGCACCTCCACTTATTGATGTCACCATAAGCCACTGTCACAGTGAGACACCGCATCCTGTCACTACCCAGATGAAATTTATTTAGATTCAGATCCTTTTTTAAAACATTTTTGTGTATATGGTTTGTTTGTTTTGTTTGTTTGTTTGTTTGTTTGTTTGTGACAGGATCTCCCTGTAGCCCCAACTGGTCTGGGACTCACTTTGTAGACCAGGCTGGCCTCAATCTCACAGAGATCTGCCTGCCTCTGTTTTCCTAGTGCTGGGACTAGAAGCATACACCACCACATCCAGCTCTAGATTTGGGTCTTATGCATAAAAAGCAAATGAGTTTGGAGAAAGCGTTCTCTGTTTTCCCAGCCCCCCGGATTAAGGGCAACATTCTTTCCACATCAAGCTCAATTTGTCTCACACTTGTGCACACCCTTTATTTTAGCATAATTCACTATTAACCCGAAAGCTCCCAGTTGAAACAACTTTTTCTACTACAAATAAAGTTCCCAGGGCCAGATGTTTAAAAAGAAAGGAGAAAAAAGGAGTTCACTTAGAAAGCAAAGTACAATTCCTTTCCTTCCCACTCTCCATTCCATTCCTAAGAAACAACCAAATAAAGTAGCTTCTAGCACACAGCCAGGGGAGAATTAGACTGACCAGGGGTTCTTTCATGGTTAGGAGAAGCAAAACTCTCCAAACTGGGAAACCCCACATTGTGGTTTCTATCGAAGGAACAAAGGAAAGGTTCTGTTAGGTGGTGTTTCCAGAAGTATGCTATTATGTACACCCCTCACCAGTTCTCTATGTAGACATGATCCTTGCAGAACTTAAACGTGATTGGAAGAACAGACAGCTACCTTAGGGTTAGCTCTCTGTTTCATCTAACCAACAGCAACGATGACCTGCTATATGCCAGGTGCCAGGCAAAGTCCTATCCACACTTCATTTCTCTGTTCTTACTAATCTAGAAAGAAATCATTATTATTCAGACACACAGCTAGAGAGCAGTAGGGTCCCCACTCAGAGTATTTTGGGTCTGATTCCACCTGACAAGATAAAATAAGTCAGGATCCAGGGCCTTCTGGTTGTCAGGGGCTCTAGAAAATCTACAAACAGATGAGACGCTCCTCAAATCTTATCCCCACCACCACCACCACCCTCCACCCACCTCCCAGCTCTGAGACACTGACTCCTCCTTGGGTAATGACTCCAGATTAAGAAGTTGCACAGCCAAGCTCCTATTCTTCCCCCACAACAGGAACCAACTCTTCACATTGAACTGTCAAGAAGATGGAGGTAGGACTTGATTTCAAGTATTCAGAAAAACAGTAACAGATTTTCAGGGCCAAGAAGAACTGACTTCAATTGTGTTCACAGTTTCCACGTCAGCACTAGCCTTGACAATGCCCATTCCCAGGCCCCGAAGCTCCAGTGCCACCCTGTCCCCTTTGCTTAGCAGCCACACCTCAGCTGGAGCACCATCAGTGACCCACAGGACCCAGCCTGGGCCCAGCACCAGCTTCTCCTAGGAGTGACAGAAACCAACGGGAGAGCTGCACAAAGGGAGCCTTCATACTCTGGCTTCTCCCACCCACCCCCAAGGGTGGCAAACAAGGCTCTTGGACTTGGGGGGTGGGTAGAGACCTAGAGGACATCAGCAGGGGCCACCCTTAACACAATGTACTTTACATTTCCAGAGCCAGCTCCGTCTAGTCAAAACAACAGGCAACCCATGGGCAAGCCAGTGACCGGCTGAGAACTAAATCCCACCACAGCAATCAGAAGAGGTGAGCACTATCAGAAATTCAGGGCTGGAAGAGGCTCCAAGTCCCCTCGTCCCACTCAACTGATGAGCTGCTGCCAAGGTACAGCTTCCTTAGGGATCAGGTCACCAAGCACCCCATTTATCCCAGAGACCAATGAAGACAAACAGGGACTGAAGGATGCACACTCTTCCTCAGCCCCACATCACTTTCCTCACGTATCAAACTGTCTCCCTGTACCAAGCCACCTTGAAAAGATAAAAGAAAAACCAGGCCAGCAAGATGGTTCAGTAGGTACAGGTGCCTGCCTGGCAACCCGAGTTCAAGCTCCAGTCCTACACAGTGAAAGGAGAGAATCGACTCCTGCAAGCTACCCTCAGAGCTTCATGTACATGTACACACACACACACACACACACACACACACACAGACACACACCACACACACACACACACCACACACACACCACACATACACACACACCACACACACACACCACACATACACACACACACAAAAATGTAAAAAATAAATTAAGATAAAGAAAAACCAGTTCATCTAGGATATTTCAAACTGTACACTGTTTCCCTGTTACCCTCTTCCCCACCCCAAAAAACAAAAGAACACACAGTCGTTTTCAGAACTTTTTAAAAAAATGTTGCTGAACCTGATGGCACGTGCCTTTAATCCCAGCATTCTGGAGGCAGAAGCAGGCAGATCTCTGTGAGATCGAGGCCAGACTGGTGTACACATCAAGTTCCAACCCAGCTGGGACTACAGGGAGACTCTGGCTCAAACAAGAAAAAAGAAGGAAAAGAAAAGAATATCTATATATACTTTGCATTTAGCCCCCCACTCTCCACAAGTTTGTGTTCCTTTTAATGTGTTCTACCAGTTGTTCACTCTGGAACTTTCATGTGAAAGGTCTGAATTTTCTTTTCTTTTTCTCTTTTACTTTTTTTTTCTTTTGAGACAGGGTCTTATGTATCCCATCTAGCCTCATTAGCCAAGAGGATGACCTTGAACTTCTGATCTTCCTACCTTTACCTTGCAAATGGGATTACACATGTGGTCCACCATCATACGGGGTTATTTCTGCAGTACTGAAGACAGGACCCTCCACAGACGTTTAATTCAAGCCCCACTGTGCAGATGTAATCAGCAAAACTGAATAAGCATGTGTCATTTCTTAAGCCTGGACTGTCCCTCCCTCCAATCCATGAACTCGTTCCTGCTCTCCAACTCTCCCATCAGTGGCCTCCCCTGCTCTGGGACACTCCTTAGTATGAGTTAGGTGCTTTCCTACCTGTGCACTGCATACAAACCTTCTTAAGATGACTACATACCATATCTTGGAGCGTTTATGAACATTCAGTGCAGAATGTCTTTCCTCCATCAGCCTCCCACTGCCTACCATAGTGCCTGACACACACGGCAAACACTAAGCAAAATACTGACCCATCACCTACTGGTCTACCACCCTCCACACCTCCTTTGTTCTCCTCCGTCTCTGTTCTTTGTATGGTACTGAGTCTCTCATCCTTGGTTGTATGGTACTGAGTCTCTCATCCCAATCAAATTGGGAGCCACCACTGATCTGCTATAATGCCTGGATACAAACTATTCTAGAAGGGAGTCTACTATGAAGTTTGTATAGAGAACCATCACTTGACCCTCTGTCTTCTGGTCCCCCTTAGGTTTTCTTTTTCTTTATTTTTTTTATCCTATCTTCAGGTTCAGTGTGTCTCACAGACATGACTTTACCCCCGGTTTAAACTCCCTCTGGAATGTTATATAAAGGGATACAGATTAGAAGGTCTGGGCCCAGGGGATTCTCTTGACTTATTTTCACACTGCTCTTTGTAGCAACTTCAAGATCTGAGAGTCATCCATTCACTCAAGTTGGGGTACCACATAGGAAGCTTACCCAGCAGAATAAGTAGCACCCCAGCCAGCTGGGCCCGCCGGTACTTGGCCACACCAGGCTCGTGGCCCATTCGGATGCAGGGGAGAACTGTCAACAACAGCAAGATTGCTGGCAGACCCAGAACTGAGGCAGCAATCATGAGGGCTCGGCAAGCCTGCACATAGCCTGGGAAAAAGAGAGCAGAGAGGGTGGATTAGACCAGGGATCGTCTTATTCCTGAGTCCCACATTCCAGGAATTCAGCACTACCTTCCTCTTTCTTGCACACCCCAAGACTTAAAATGTAATAAGTGTTGCCCAAGATCACTACACAACTTCAACTCTTAAAGGAACTCAGTGACAAGGGTAGAGAGAATGCTAGAAAAATAAAAAGTGGATCTCAGGTTCAGACCATTTGGTCACACTGCCCAGATGGAGAGGCCAAGCATTTACTCACATTATAACACCTGGTTAAAGATTCACATAGAAGGCCAGGTGTGGTGGTACACGCCTCTAATCCCAGCATTTGGGAGGCAGAGGCAAGTGGATCTCTGTGAGTTCAAAGCCAGCCTGGTCTACATAGGGAGTTCCAGGACAGCTGGACTATAGGGAGACCCTGTCTCCACATAGAAACTCAAACGTTCAAAGAAGTCTTCTGTGGTAGTTGGTTATTGGTTCCAGTCAACTGTGGCACACTCTGCCTGTGGAATCATAGCAAGTCAATTACCTAGTCTGTCCTACTTTCTTCATCTGTAGAGTAACAATATTAATGGTACCTCCATCTCTCTAATAGAATTCTACTGAAGATTAAAGTCACTAACAGAATGCTCAGAACGGTTTCTATGGCAAGTATTCGAAACTCAGCAGCAAATATTCTCAGTGATAGAGCTCCATATTAATGCAGTGATTTCTTTTCATGATGTAATCTTGCCATGTAATCCAGGCAGTTCTCAATCTCATGATCCTCCTGCCTCAGCCTCCCAGTGCTGGGTTTATAGGCGTGAGCCACCACACCCAGCTTAGTACAGTCCTATATTCAGTGTACTAAGTGATTTTTGTCCCCAGTTCAAATTAGGCATAAATACCACGTGGCCTCGGATTAGAATGAGCTAAGACTAAGGCTTCCTCTCTCTTCCTTTGCCCTAGAGGCTGCTGTCCTCCTGAATCCTACCCCCCATAGATGGTCAAGCTCTATCTCCTGTCTCGTTCGGGTGCTAAGGCTTTTCCAAATGTCTGTCATTGCTTAAAAGGTGTATCTCCAGCCCTGGGGATTCCTAGAGGGGAGACACCTGTCTTGGTCTCTGTGTACCCATAAAAGATGTAAACAACTATCAATGAAGGAAAAGGTAAGTTGAGTAAGAACAGAGCAAAGCTATTTGCTCCGTACTCTCTGTAGACTGCCAAGTGACAACTTTATGAAGACACAGGTTATTATATGCACAGCTTTATATAGAATAAAGCTGACAGGTACTGGGAGAATTTCGCAGATATAAATTTGCTATTTCCACTGGGCGTGGTGGCGCACACCTTTAATCCCAGCACTCAGGAGGCAGAGGCAGGCGAATCTCTGTTAGTTCAAGGCCAGCCTGGTCTACATAGTGAGTTCCAGGACAGCAGGGGCTACAGAGAGACCCTGCCTCAAAAAGACCAAAAATAAATACATAAATAAAATAAAATAAAATAAAATAAAATAAATTTGCTATTTCAGTTTTACTTTTTTTTCTTCATTGAAACACATTTTTCAAAAGTGTTGGATTTTTGATTCACCGTGCTTGTTTTGTTTTGGTTGCTCAGGCAGATTTAGAGCTAGTGGCCTGAGTGAGGCTGAGTTAATGGTAGTGCCAAGAAAGTAACTCCAACTCTGCCTCCCACAGACTAGAACCCTCATGTCAGACCTGGCCAACCTCCTTGTGAACCAAGAGATAGCTTCAACACTGCCCTCTTAGCAACTTTGTCACAGTGTAGACACCTCAGGGGCTCTCATCCAAACACTGCCCAGCTCACCTTCAGAATCAAGCATAACCTTGAAGACCCCAGGAACCCCAGAAGTCTGAGGTCTAACCCCTCCCCTGCAACTGGAAGAAGAGCCAGGCCCCACACAAAGGTAGCAGTCATCTCAAAGGGAGGCTCTAAAATTAATGGCACAGGGCTGTTCACATGCTACAGCGTCAAGGCCATGTCTGGAAATCAGAAGATGTTGACAGAGGATTATCCCTACCCCTATGCAGTAAGTAAGGTAAAGGAAGCTCAGAACAATTAAGCTGTCCCCAGAATATAGCCTGTGTGTTCTGAAGCAAATCATTTGGCACTGAATGGCTCAATAATTTAATTTCAAGGGAAGAAAGCAGAGAATGACTTTATGTGTCCCTCAGATGGCTCTGTATTCATGCCCAGCTGTCAATAGACAATTCCAGCTGCCTTTTCTAAAACATCTCCTACTTCAAAGAAGGGATGCATTTCTTGGCTCATTGGCACCCAAGCAATCCTGGAAGATAGGTGGTTGGTTTGATTTTCATCAAGATTGGCAACTTGTCCCAGATAGCCCAGATTGTGAGCCCTTAGTCCTGAAGCCTGACTCAAGCTGGGTCCAGACCTGGGTTCTCTGAATTCTGTCCATCTAAATATCCAAATGGAGAAGAGGGAAATGAAAGGCAGGTCTGACACAAGTTGGGCCTTCCTATGATGTGGTAAGGGAGGTAGAGAGCTGACCCTAGAATGAACAAAGCCCTGGCTGGGTTCCATTCCCAACACCACATCATGTGATAAAGATAAGCCAGCACTCCATCAGCCTGGATGTGGGCAGGTTATTCCAAATTCCAGGCCTTGGAAAAGGGGAGGGGGCACTTGAGTCTCTTAAAAGGGGTACAGAGTCTCTGGAGAGCCAAAGACTCTCCCAGGAGAAGACACAAATTCAACTACTCTCTGGCAACTTCAGAGCTGATTTCTCTCCATCTTATGAAGGCCAGGCTATGCCCTTAAATGCCCAAAATCAACCAAGGCCCGAGAGCTAGGCAACCTCACTTGACTGACACAAAGCCACTGGCATGACCGATTCCCAGCAGAAGACCAGAGATGGTGCCTGCAACCTCCCAAGTCATCCAACTGGCTTCACATTTAAAACGGAATTGAAACTGTTTTCCGGAACTCTTCTAGGACCCAAGGGAAGATGACGGCCTGCTCCACTCCCCCACCCCCACTTCTGAGGGGTGGAAGTTTGCCAATCTTCCGTCCCCTCTGCTTTGGGGACACAGCTTCCGCCAGGGGAGTGACCCTCAGCAGCGATCTGTGTCTCTGCTGGCTTTAGTGGAGTTTGCTCTCCGAGGGCAATGATTCTTCCCAACCCTCTGCCACCATGACGCCAAGCATGTGCCCTGGCAGCAGGGGAGGGGTGCCGCTGCAGCCGGCTGTTGGGAGATCCCACTGTGAGAAACAGGGATGGAGACAGGACTGGTAAGACAGGCCCAGGGGCCGGAGAGAACGAATGGGATTTGCTAAACAGCAGTCCGGGCCGACCTTGGACGTGGACCTAAACTCACCAAGATGCTTCCAGCTCCCATAGGACTTAGAAATTTAAAAGTCTCTAAATTGTTCTGCTTTGTTCTTTCCTCCGCAATTCTGCTGACCGGCTCTAACCGGAAGTCCGAGATGGGGAGTGGGGAGGCCAGGGAAGGCAGAGCCACTAAGTATTTTTGATCAGTTGACCATGGGAACCTGGGATGGGGAAGCACGGGAATTAACACCAGCTGGATTCCTACTATGCATCTATGATTCATTAAATTCTCAAAGCCGCAGGCCGGCATTACCAATATCCCAGTTATCTTTCGTATCCCAAATTCTAGATAAGGAAACGGAGGCCTACAGGTGGTTGTTTAGAGCTAACTCTTCTCACAGTGGGATTAGGGATGCCCAAAACGTACCCAGAAGTCTCTGAGCCCCAAAACGTTTCTGAGAACCCTGTCTAAAGTGCACCCCACACACACCCATCTCGGGCCCAACTGGCCTCTGAGGTTAGAGGCAGCCGTTTGCAAGTGCAGGGTCCTTACCTGGGAGTATGAGGATGTCCACCAGCGGCTTGCAGTGATACAGACCCGTGGCCATGACGCAGTCAGCCCACAGGCCCTTGGAGCCCAGTTCGTCCATCTTGCGGCAGGTGGGGATGGTGTAGCCACAGGTCACCACCCAGTCATTGGTGGACGTGGTGACAATGATGCCGATCCAGCCCACGAAGCTCGTGACAAAGCCCACCACCTGCAGGCACGTGGCCACCATGGTGGCCGTCCCGACGTCCACTCGGCTGGTCCTTCACCCACTGTGCGCCCGGCGCTGGGCTGGACAGCGCCTGCCCTGGCTCTCCCTCTGTGCCCTAGAGAGCCGCTGGCTCGAGGACACTCGTGCCGTGGACCGCGAGGGGCGGCGAGGGCAGCTGCGACGGCGCGGACAGGTGCGCACGGCGGGGACAGCGGCGCAGCTGGGCAGCGCGCCCCCCGCCCCCTCTTTAAACTCAGTGGCCGGGACCAGCAAGCGCCAATCGGCGGCAGCCCCTGCTGGAGCCAGCCAATCGCAGCCCGGGCTCCGGAGCTGGGTGTGGAAGGGGGCAGGGGACAGAGAGGGGGGCAGCAGGCCGCCCCGCTGGGCGGGATGACACGCCGCTGGAAAGTGAATTAACTCCATCCCTATCTGAGAAGGGGGCTCGCATCAAGAGAGCGTTCTGTTTGCAGAGCATCACTTCTCCTCTTGGGGTCTCTCTCTTATCTGTCTCTGGACCTTGGTCTTGTTTTGTCCCTCCTCATCTTCAGCCCACTCCCCTCACACTCCTTCTTCCCAGCTGGGAGCATTCCCAGGACACCTGGCACAGTTCTCCCATGGCCCTAAGGAACAGAGGAGAAACATTCAGCACTCCATAGTTACAGAGAGGGAGGGAGGGAGGGAGGGAAAGAGAGAGGGGGGGGAGAGAGAGAGAGAGAGAGAGAGACAGAGAGACAGAGAGACAGTGAGAGAGAGAGAGAGAGAGAGAGGAGGGAGGGGGAGAGAAAGAGGGACAGAGAGAGAGAGACAGAGACAGACAGAGACAGAGAGAGAGAGAGAGGAGGGAGGGGGAGAGAAAGAGGGACAGAGAGAGAGAGACAGAGACAGACAGAGACAGAGAGAGAGAGAGAGGAGGGAGGGGGAGAGAAAGAGGGACAGAGAGAGAGACAGAGACAGAGAGACAGAGGGAGAGAGAGAGAGAGAGAGAGAGAGAGAGAGAGACTGGGGAGATTGCTCTGTAGTGAGGGCACTTACTGCTCAAGCATGAGGACCTGAATTTGAATCTTCACAGCACCCATTTGGGCCTCACACACTTGTGACCTCAGTTCTGTGGTGGATAGGTGGAGAACAAAGACAGAAGGATCTCTAGGGCTTACTGGCTGCCAGCCTAGCCCAGATTCCTTGAGAGACTGTCTTAAGAGAGTAAGGCGGATAGAGATGGAGCAGAACATCTGACATCCTACATCCTCCTTTGGCCTCTGACTGCACCCCTGTGCACACATACACACACCATCCCACAAAAAGAAACAGATAATATAATAAAGATGCTTTTCCATGGTCAAAAACAAGCAGGGCTACTCATGAAGCTGTATTATTAATACATATTATACACATGCATCTGAATTCTCCAGGCTTTGTGGTAGGAACAAATGTCAATTGCACATCAAAAAAACAGCCTAATAAATGTTAAGCACTTCAAATTGCCACAACTAGGAAAGATAAGACTCCATGAGCCCACTCACCTCCCTCCCTGACCACACCCTGGAACCCGGTGGGATGATCAATTTGTAGATGTACCTAAAACACTCAATGTTCAGATTCTGATACATTGAAGCTAGGCTTACCGCCCAGCTCACCGTAAATAAGTTATCATCTATTCTGCTCTGAGAAAACCGATACCCAGTGTGTGGGGAAGGTGAGCTAGCAACAACAATGACCTGAGTCAGCCCCCTTCCCTCTACACATTTAGATAAGCACCATATCTGGGGGAGGCAGGTATGGGGATGAACCCAGGGACTTGCACTATAGACAAGTGCCCATCTACTGAGCTACAGCCTCAGGCTCGCACAGCTATAAGTCTTGAAAATATTCAGCTTATCTTACTATGTCTCTTGATCTAAATCATCTGGGCTGGATCCCCCTGGCCAATTATTTCATTTACAGGAGTGAAGATTTCAACAAGCACAAAAACTTGCTGCTCAGCACCCTGAAGACTTAGTTACAAATCACAAGTCCTCAGTATAGAGCTTTCCACAGCCATCCCCAGGCCAGGGTCACTGCACATCACCAAGTCTTCTAGAAAAGACTGGACTTGAGAAGACACGGTGAGTTGTCTCTTAGCCTGTATGACTCCTGGCTCTTTAGAATGAGAATGCCAAGTGCTCATTAGGACTATTGTAGGATTAAGTGGCAAAACTCATGCAATGTACTTAGTTAGCACAGAGCCTGGCACTGTTGGTAATGTCCGTTTCCATTCATATTACACAAACCACGGTGCAGAGTTCAAACCTTGGCTCCACTACTCATGGCTGAGGGGTCAAAATACTTCATTTTCTTTTTCTTTTTCTGTGCATGCATGTAAGTGCACCACATGTGTACAATGCCCACAGAGGTCGGAAGAGAGCATCAGATCCCCTGGAACTGGAGTTACAAATGGTTTCTTGCCACGATGTGGGTGCTAGGAACCAAACCAGGGTCTTCTGCAAGAGCAGCCAGTGCTCTTAACTGCTGAGCCATCTCTCCAGCCCTGAATTTCTTTTCTTTTTTTATTAATTTTTATGTGTATGAATGTTATGCCTGCACGTATGTAAGTGCACCTGTGTTGTGCAGCGCTCATGGAGGACAGAAGTGGGCTTCAGATCCCCTGGAACTGGAGTTACAGATGGTTTTTAGCCACCATGTGGGTGCTAGGATTTGAACCTGGGTCTTCTGCAAGGGTAGTCAGTGCTCTTAACCACTGAGCCATCTCACCAACTCCTTTTCTTTTGTAAAAAGTATATATTGTAATTTATTGTATCTGTGTGTCCCTGTGGATGTATGTCAGTGGATGTGTGTGTGTGCCATGGCATGCACATGGCAGTCAGAGAATTTTGGAGAAGTTCTCTCCTTCCATCATATGGGTCCCAGGAATTGAACTCAGGTGTTTAGTCTTGATGGCAAGTGCTGAGCCATCTCAGCAAGCCTACTTAATGTTTCTTTCTTTAGATTCATTTTTATATGTATGAATATTTTGCCTGCATATATATGTACCATGTACATGCCTGGTACCCACAGAGGGCATCAGATCTCCTGGAACTAGAGTTACAGATGGTTGTGAGCTGCCATGCAGGTGCTAGGAACCAAACCCAGATCCTCTGCAAGAGTAGCGAGTGCCACTAACTGCTGAGCCACCTCTCCCTTTCCTTTCTGTTTCTTTACCTCCTCTCATTTATGAAATGGGAGTGAAAACAGTACCTACCACATAGTTCTCTTGCTGATCATGTGAGTTACTACTGAACATACAGAGCTGAAAGTAATGCCTGGGACAAGCAAATGCTCAGTAGCCTGGCTACTATATTATAACACGGTGCTCAGAATTCATGCTTTTGCATCTTTCTTATGTCTGTGTAAAATGAAGATTTGTGGAAACTATTTTATAGGAACATATCCCCTTTTGGGGTGAACCATTAAATAGACTTTGTATTGCATCCCAAGGTTTATTAGTCTGGACGTTGCCAGATATTTCTTTTCCTTTTTTTTTTTTTTTTTTTTTTTTTTTTAAAAAAAAAAAAAAAAAAAAAAAAAAGAGGACGATAAATCTTTCACTGTGATATATCAAAATAA